TGAGGGAGATATCCTCTCTTCCATAGTTGATGTTGATATTTTTGGGGATCGCATAAATCCAATCAGGCGATAATCTAAAATCCATATTTGGAAAGTTATCTCGTCATAACCATGGTGACAGCTGCCCTAGGTCACTGAAAAGTGTCTAAGCCGATGTGGAAGACGAAATGCGATACTAAACGTTTCGAATGACGATAGATTTTTTTTTGGCTGATCGAGTATGCCAGATTTCGCGGAGTTCAGAATAGCGACGATCTGGGTGGTTATTCTCATGCTCAAAAACAGCCAGAAAAACTAGTCGTGTTTAGGAGGGACAAGCAGAGAAACTGTAGTAACTGTCATCATCTCTGTGCTAACATACCCGGTACGCGGGCAGAGTGCTTTGGATGGAGATCAGAATATTGATGAAATGGGAATTTTCGGACGAACAATGTCGGTTTCTCTCTAGCACCGTGGATCATTACTCATTGCCAATTTTGTGAGAATTGCTGGCAGCATGTGAGGGTGGCTTATAATTGCTTTATAGACTTATGGCGGAGTACGTCAGTCGAAGCTACGGAGAGCACTGCAGGACTATGTAGGTGTGTGGCCAGCGACCGATTCCATCGGATCCGTATGCTGTTGCTCAGAGGTTTGTGTCCTGATTAATGGGTAGAAAGAAGGCGGTGTATTTCAAGGTTCTTGATGGTCTTCGCTACGGGTGCTTGTTGTCTGGTAATTTACATAAACTGAATCAAAACATGCTTCTTTGAAAACACGAATCACCATTGTAGCGGTTTGGAAGAGCGCCATGCAGTTGGTAGCTAACCTCGTAATTTTCGCGCTGACTCCTATGAAGACCTCTGACGTGCAGTCGCTGATTTGCCTCTACATGTGATGAGTTCGAGGCAAAAATCAGTCAGACAAATATCGAGACCTTTGTTCTCTCAAGAAAGATCAGTCAGTACGCTTTGAAGAGTGCTGCTGATACATGTTGCGAAGTTTGTGTATCTCGATGTAGCATTAACGAGTAATGGCAAGCAGGAAATGAAAATGGATACACTGAGATGAAGGCATAGTTTCGTACGTTTTCACTGTTGAACACTGTTAGCGATATTCGCCTTTGAAACAGTGCTGAACCGGACAAAGCCCAAGGTGTATCACTCTAAAAGTTAGGCGCCCATCGTGATACCAGACTGGTATTTTTCTGATCATTAGTGGCATGAAATTATCCTGATCGAGTAGTTGTGAGAAGCAAGACGTACCACTTTACGGCTTCGGAACGCAGAACTACTATGAAAAGTCGCCTTTTCAACACTCAAAAGTTATGAAGATCCAGTTCAGTACAACAAATCTCTAAATATAACAGAGGTATGGCAGTAAAAGAGGCCGACCAGTTTAATTAATTGGCTTCCATCGTCTTACCGTCGATACTTGACAGTTAGCGTAAAGCAAGAACACCGTACCTTTCATTTCTGAGTTTCTGAGCTACTTCATTATCTGAATACTCCTTCCACTTGCTTATTCTTTGCTAGGGCCATACCAGTGCTGTTATGCAAAATAGAGACTGTTATTTTAGCAAAAGGATAAAACATGAAGTTCAGTCAATTAGCTTCGATGCCCGCATATCCTTTTGGGCCCAAGACATTAGTTGCAACGCAGAATGAAGGTTGTGCAGCGGATCATGTAGCGAATGCATTTATTCTCTTCTGCATGGCTATCCGGAATATAAGTGGAGATCAAGAAAATTTGATCGGCCATACTTTATATATTCAGGAATATGCGCTCCTCAGTTCATTCCGCCAAAGTTTAAGGCAGGAGTCGAAACACGCCAGCGGTTATTGGCCAGAGCATCATCGAATAACGTATTTAAGCAGTGCAGAAGCAATTCCGAGTTTAGATTGAGATTTCCCTCTTTGTGATTTAGTCTTTGTCGTTAGGGTAATGACCATTAATCGATATCATTCAGGTCATATTGTTCAATCCATGTCAGATTTTCTTAACCGTTGAACTGCGCTTACAGCGCTGACCTTCCTTCATGCAGTTGGCACTGTTTGGCGCAGGTTTTTCGCTCTCTCTAACAGAGAGACCTTTTAACTCTAAGCCGAGCTATTAGACTTGACATAAGGCAAATTTATTTTGGGTCATTTTCAATGATTGTACTTGTTTCAGTTTTTGTGAAACGTTTATTTAGTATACATCTAGTCATAATAATCGTTTGTATTATATTCAAAATCGTTTCGAGGTATTGTTAATCAGCAGCTGATTAATCGATCGTAATCCAATAAGTCCAGTTCATTTTTTGGTTCTGGTGTATTTGCTTAAGCGCTCTTGAGGAACCACCACATTGTTTGTTCCAAAACCCGCAGACTTTCCACGTGACCCTTCCGTGAATTCCAAAGTGCAGCGCGCATACGTTGTTTTGCATCATTGCCATCGTAGTCTGATGGCTAATGATGTCTGAGCATATCGGGCACATCTGTTTTAACCTAGCTTCTTACGGCATAAGAAGCGGATGCATATTCTCTATCCTGGTCGAAGCAAGCGCTTGCATCGTTCATGGCACTTTTGGCTATCTCGACAGTAGGTTATGCGACCGACTGATGGCCGATCTATTCTCCGATGAGTCGATTCACTGCCTCTGCTGCACTGGCCGCGGTGCCACTTTAGTATCGGCAACACAATAAGTTATTCATAGCACACTTTAAATTTTAACCTAGGCGCAGAAACATGAACTGTTCTGCAATTTTATGTCACCAAGTTGCAGGACTAAAACATGTTCTGTCAAAGGCCATTATGCCTCAGGTGTTAGGATTTAATTCTTAACGCAGAGATGTCATAGTGGTCAAAGACGTCTTCATGCGATTAGCGACAGTATGCGATCATTGCACTATTGGCTTCTCGTTCACATTGCCGAACAAGTAACTCTCACGCATATCGCTCCCTGTTGATTTCTCCTCAAACCAGGGACTTAATGGTCTGTCTTTTCCATGGCTTCACCGAATCGGTCACCTGAGAAACATGTAGGCCCATTAAGTCAAACGCGGCATCGATGTATCTCTTCCAAATATTTTCGCCCGCGTTATGGACCAAAGACGCATTCTGGTCAGCACAACAATTCTCCGTCGATTACGCATATTTAATGTTCATGATTATGATGGGCAGTGACAAGCATCCTGCCTTTCCAGTGATTGGACAAAAATATAGCAGTAAACGTATATTGAAACTGCAACTTGCATAAAAGAGTGTCGAAATGCACTTGATTCAGTGCGTAAACTCATTTTCAAGAGCCTTATATTCTTTGAATTATGAGTGGGACAGTCGATCTTCTGTCGACCATGACTGACAAGAATGGCTCTGAAGGTGCCGACGTTGTTCACAAGCATGAGATGATCATTTGTCGCTTTCACTGATATTGTGGTCATCTCATCGCGTCAGTTTTCCAGGAGAACCAGCAGCCTGACCACGCATGATGCATTAACAGAAGGGATGCTAAAGTTACGAAGAGACCTGCGGCGACACTGGCGATAACGCCAGCAGCAGACTGACGGACCGTACAGAACAGCTGCCACACGAATATATTATTATATATTGCCACATCCAATATATTATTATCGTAGTACAGTGTACTGCAGAATTCATTCACTGAAGTTAGAAACAGTCGTCTTTGTTCCGTCTCAACTTGGCGCATTAGCTTACAGTCTTGCAATGGCCCCTTTTAAGCAGCGTTTATCCTCGCTGCTGATATCTTGTATGTTGCGGCCATTCAGTGATCAACTACATTTTTGATGCATTTCTGCTATGACTGGATTGAGTTATGTTTTTCCTTTCGTGCATTTTTGGTGCGCTTGTTATGAACTATCATTAATATCAGTGTATTATTACCGTTTCGACACTGTTTGCCGACGGTTTAACAAAGGCGTCGCTTTAGGTGTTCGGAAGCAGTGAACGCGCTTGTTGAAGACGGAGATACTATCGACAGTTTGGTGTTTGGTCGATCAACGGGTTTTGTTCACAGTCTTTTGGGAAAGATCTATGCGTAAGATTTTTCAGGTTATGCTTGTCGTTCATTCGCCGTTCTTACTGTATACAGGAGAAACAACCGAATTCATCAGGCAAAAAAAGAGCATGTCAAGGCGCTTCAGCACATTCCTTACTTATTTTCTTCGCTTCAAGATCTCAGCGAACTGTACCCTTTCATTAACCTCGAATCGCTTCAAACACCGATAGATGACTTGGATATAGGCATCGATTCTCGAACTCAGGTGCGTTACTGCTTTGCATTTTCATTTATTGGTCGCTGGGCTTTCCGTAGTCATGCGCTCTTTTCATCCAGTACGATATCCTAAGCAGGTCTTAGGATAAACGTTTTTCAATGCCGCATGTACTGTGATACAGTGCTTTAGAACATAATGTGATGTAGTGCATGTCCGTTTAGAAGTCTTTTTCACACTTGACTTGTGTGTACAGACGTTTTCCGTGCTTTAAAAGTACCGACATTTTCCTGTCCTTTTGCGCTTGGACAGGAGCCAACCGACTTGACTCTGTCTGTTTTCTTAGCCAAAACTGGCGAATGTAACATCTTTAAGTCTCTAGTGCTGTTTTAGGGGCCAGCAGCAGACAGTGATCAATGTAGCGATTCATTCAAAAGGTAACTCTGCCTTCGGTAGTTTTCTTCTATGTTATTATCTTTGTTTTTAGCTCTACGCCGATTCCTTGCTTTGGTTTGAACCATGATGGTAACTTTAAGCCTTTAGGAAAAGCCCCCAGGAAAGTGAGTGATTTGTCATGTCCATAGCTGAATTATTGAATGTTTGCTTAAGCTGCGTAGTTTCTTCTACATGTATACCTATCAGTGTTTGGCGCTGTCTGCGACATACTTATATACATGTTTATGAGAAACGAATGAATATGATTGTTATGCTTTCTTAATTCGTCACAGCCGTTCAGTACCTAATATCTCTTAAATAAGACTTTCTTATCCACCTAGTTGTTTGTTTTTCAAATAGTACACTTTTTTGTTTCTGAATCAGCCAAAACCCGGGATCGATCCGGGTACAGAAAATTCAAATAGTTTGACAAGACAAGCTTAAGTTAGCTATTTTCATTGTTTGAAGTAAATCATATATGAATTCGTTTTTCTTCAAGAAGAGCTAAATGTACGAAGCAAGAGAGCAATTATCACTGAGAGCAGCGTCGAAGCAGATTATTTCATGAAAATATGACATGCTTAGTTAAGTTTTCATGGTATTTGGTAAAACTAACTCTAATGACGGAAATAAAATTTGATGCGATGCTATCATCGCCACATCGATGATTCTACTCTACAACAGGAGAAAAATGGGATTTAATGGACTATAGGCCAATTAGTTTGTTGCTAATCAATCGTCTTCAAGATCGTTACAAATATACTGGCCATTAGACTTCAAAGAAACTGAACGCTGTGCAGCCAAATGAGCAATCAGGATTCAGAAGTGGATTTACTACGATGGATCATCTCCAGGTGGCACAGTAAGTTATTCATACAAGCAAGGAACATCAGGTTCCTCTCTGCCTAAGGTTAATAGATTTCGAGAAGGCTTTCGACTCAGTCTACATCCGTTCTGTACTGGATTCCTTGAGGAGTAGGATAGAGAGACTTCATCGTCATGATCCAGTTCAGGAATGTTAGTGTGAAGTTTCACGAAAGCGCAAGCAAATTCGAAATCGAAAAAAAGCCTGCGACAGGGCAGAACAATATTATCGAAGTTATTCAGGCTGCCCTAGAAGAGGTTTTCAATAACCCCTTTGGAAAAAGCAGGGGTTGAATATAAATGGACAGTCTTCCAACCACTTTGGTTTGCTGAAGATGTTCTGATCCTTTCGAAGTCATCAAAAATAATTCACAGAAGAATCCGTAGGCTGAACAGTGCTAGGATCAAAGCAGGCAGGACTGAAAATGAACCAGAGGAAGACTCAGGAAACGTGTAATAAGTTGCGCGACTTGTTGAAGTCAGCGGACTACTGTTTAAAGAACCGCAAAACTATATTTACCTTGAACAGCTCATCTCTGCGGTGAAGAACCTGAATAAAAACCTGAAGTCCGCAAGAGAATAAAAATGATATGGAGCACATTGGAAGACTGAAAAAGTTCTGACGCAAATAACTGTCCTTTTGCTTCAAAGGAAGGTTTTCGATCAACGTTTGCTCTCATTGCTAACTTATGGATGCGAAGTGCGTATCTTAAAGCTGGAAGCTACTCATCCATTGCAGACTACGCAACGCAGCACAAAAAGATACATGTTGCGAATAAAAAGAAATGATGGAAAGATGAATTAATGGGTAAGAGCATAAAGCAGTCTGCGTTGTCACTGCCAGCATGAAGAAGTTACGTGACAATGGGAAGACACGTGAGAGCCGACCATCGCTGTACCAGGGTGGGTTCCAAGAGAGAGTAAGCGATCCGTACGAATAGGTCCGGGTCGATAACAGGACGAATTTGAGAAGTGCGATGGATCAAGATAATGAATATGTCAGATAAGTTTATAGCAAAGCCTTGTGGAGGACTTGATTCATCAGTGGATCGAAAAATGCTTGTGATGATGTGCCAGACATAACGAACTTGCCGTGATATAGACCAGAACAGCTCGAAACGAAATGCTAAGAAATGCGATAGAACAAAAATAGCTGAACATTATCTTGGACATCAAAATAGTTCGATAGATGCACTTCAGTGCCTTTTGAAAAACTGAAATTTTCGGCTGGCTCAGGGAGGAATGGTCGAACGTGAAACTGGAGTTATTGTCATCATCTGTAGCCAACAGATACTGGTTAGCAAGGTTGTTCAGATTTATTTTGTCTGACCACTAGAAATGGTATGTGCAAGTAATATTATTCAACATGGTCACTGCTGCTGCAAAGTCCATTTTCTCATACTAAGCAAGTCGACTTCAATCAAGAGTTTTCAAGCTTTGCATTGTCATCCAACGCTTTTAAAGCTGTTGGTCGGTTCCCACGCAAGAAATTTTCGTGTCCTTTTTGAATCATTTTGTCCAACAACGAGCCTGTTTTTAGTTTTCTGACAATGCTTTCACGTCATTTTCGTTAACACCTGCGCGTTCCTGATCCGGTGATTCCATTGTGTAGTGAGGATGCTGCATCAGTAGCGCTGCTGGAAGCTGTCCAGACTTGCTTCGTGATGCTTAAAGGCTGCAGATATTTCAGGAATGCTACTGCATTCAAAATGTTGATCATTGAGGCCATTTACGTAGTGCAGTTTTTCCATATTTTCTACAACTTGCCGAAATTAGCTGATTTTAGTCCAGTGCGGAGGTTCACTTCAGATCACTGTCATCTTCATGATTTAAACTGTTGTGATTTACTTCAGTTTGTTTACCTCTATCGTCATACCATTTGCAGCACCAGCTGGTTGTCGGTCATGACGAATTCCCTTTGTCTTTTTCTTCTTGTCACTAATGTGTAGCTTTGCTCTCACAGCCGCACTGCACACCTTTGATTGTGTCAGTGGGGATTTTCGGAATGTCTCAGCAGCACACGTCATCTACACGCTCCCGATCCGTTAGAAATATCACTGTTAATCTTAAGCTGCGTCGCTGATAAACGGCCACCCCTCCGTCTTTCACACTGGTGTTTTTCTACATCACGTAGTCAGTCACATTGCTTAATGGCAGATAAGAAAGCATCTTTCTTTGGTTAATTACACTGTTATGATGTTGAACCAATGTGTCAATGTTACTTCAGTGTTGACAGTTCATTTTTTCCCTTTGTTGAGGTATTCTATCATATTTAGTACCGATTGTCGAATTCTGTATTGTCAAGTAACGCACTACACTGTCTTGCGATGAGCTGAATCGAGCGCTGCACGGAAGTCCCGAAATATTACGTACCGGGGCAGTTTGAAACTGTTACATTGGTCGGTAATCGGTTTCAGCACAGGTTTTTGCCTGCTTGATTTGTTTGCAAGGGGATCTAATCGTGAAATTTGGTACTGCCATTCCGACGCAAATTTTCTTCCAGGTCTAATTTAACACAGTAATATTGAATTATTGAAATACTGAATGAACATTTTACTTTCGAAATTTTGATGACGCTTTACAAATTACGCAACACCTGTGTGAAACTGCTGATCTGTTATCTTACTAAGAGTGGTTAATTGTTTATAGCACAATCTTGAATAAAGTCAGCTGTTTAATTCATAAAACGAAGTGAAGTCGTGTTAGGTATGACCGATTCGTGAATGCTGCTTCGAGACTTTCAGTGGCAATACCAGATGGGTATTATAGTGACCAGGTTTTAATTCTTTTAGATTGGGCAGGTCTTTCGTTGCTACGTCGCACCGAAACAGTGCCTCCCACTCATTCTTCAT